CTTCTTGTTGCAACTGTAGTTTTTAAGTAATATAGGAGCAGATAAATATTGCACTACATAAAAATGAACATATGCTATTTGATTTTGTGGAAGTACAACATGCATGATAATAATAAATAAAATAAAAAAAATAAAATAAAAGCATATACACATGGGACCAAATCTATTGACTTTTGGTAGTCTTATGGGTGTATGCGTAGACTATTACAAATTAAAAAATTGGTTAGTGGTTTATCAACCGTTTTATTGAATATATTATGAAAAATATAAAAAATCATATTTTAGTATTATTAGCATTACTAGTGCTTATACCTTTAGAGAGAAAATAAATGATCGTTTGAGAATGAGGGCTTTAGAGAGATAGCTTATTAGTGGTTGTTGGGCTTCTTGATTTTCTGCAATTGAGGAGATGTTAAAAAATAAAATGAGATCATTGGGAAGCAATCATACATATAAATAACAAATCATTTAAATAAGCAATAACTTTTGCTTCTAATGTACAGTAATTGTAAATTAATGTGACCACTTACTTGAGAAAGAATTCTACATTTGATGGACTATGAAAGACACATTGATTTTCAAGCCAACAAAATTTATAAGTACATCTTAGTTGTATAGTACTTTTCACCCCTATGTCCAAGTGGGGTGATCCAAAACTCTCTATTTGTCTCTCCCTTTCTTTCTCTAAAGACTTGTTTGTTTTTCTAAAAAATTTATTTCATAAATAAATCTTTCTAACTTTTCAAAAGTTATGCGTTTGACACAGGGTTTCTTTCTAAAAGTTCATAAAGTAATCTTCCAACAAAAAAATATTATATAATATAATATTATATTTATTATATCATATATAATAATTATATTAGTATTTATTATATTATATATAATATATACATATTTTATATTATATATTATATATAAGAAAAAAGTTTATATAAAGCCTAGGCTCTAAACAATCAAATCGGAGCCCACCTCAAAAATTCCACTAGAAGAGGTTGTTTTGATGCCCAATTTTCTTCAAATTGATCATCTTCACATCAAGATGCATGAACATTAAAAAAATTTAGACTTCAAGTTTTGGAAATAGTTCATCTTGTAATGCATTTTTGGACGGTCAATTTTTAAGATTTTCAAGTTTTCATAGATTTGCTAATGTACACTATTTTTTAAGCCTTAAATTTTATAATTAGAGATGAAAATATATTTTAAGGCTATCATAAATATTTTAAGCATTGAAACCACATTTCTCGACACTATTTGAAGGTGGGCTCTACTTTGATTGTTTAGAGCCTCGGCCCTATACAAACTACCGTTATATATAGTACAAATATATGTTAATAAAATATATAAAATACATTTTATTATATATTATATAATGTTATGCATATTATATATTTATATTCATGGGAAATGTTGGCGTAGGCCCATTAGCCTACAACTACATATAGGCCCAACGTCCCATATGCAATCTAGGCCGATCTAACGAATACGATCGTATTTCATATTTTAATTTTATTTTTCTTCTACATATGAAAATCATGTGAAATTTTTTATGTCTGTTATTCTCATCAAAGCGCACCTAATACAAATATTTAAAAAAATAATTCACAAAATATAAATTGATCAAAATACCCATGCAATATTTTGGGGGTATTTTGGTCAATTTATTTTTTACAAAATATTTTTTTGATTTTTTTATTGGATTCTAATGTTTTTAAAGAACACACACGCAAAATTCTAAGTGATTTGAATATATATAAAAAAATCAAAATATAAATATGAAATACAATCGTGATCATTAAATCGGCTCCGATTCAATTTAGGTCGTTGGGCCTATATGTAGCTGTATGCTAGTGGGCCTACATCAACATTTCTCTATATTTATATTGTTTATATATATATATATATATATATATATATATATATATATTCATTATATAATATATATATATAATAATATTATAATATTATATATGATTTATTATATTATAAGCAAATTCTGCTGAATCACTGAAAAAATTAAAATGCCATAATTTTATATTTGTTGTGAGGCAGGTGGTTAGAAACACTATGTGCAACTACATGTAGTATCTAAATCATGAAATTGTTGTATAATTTTGTCGGTGATTCATTATCTGTTACATACCTTTCTACTATGGATTATGGAAAATCCAAATGCAGAGTGTACCATGAAGGCTATGGTTAATCTCTCAATTGTGAATTTTGTATTGTGATATTATTATCTCTTAGGATAGAGATTATCTCTGTGGATCAATAATGTGACAGATCATACCCCATGCCTTTGCTGTTTGATTACTTAGAGAGAGATTGATTGCTTAGAGATTTTTCGATAAAAGATAAATAGCAAATATATTGGAGCTTAAGGATTTGACGAGTAGAGAGAGATAAAAGACGTAATCATATGGCCTCGAGGGTAAAGATGAGATTTTTCTATTTTAAATATCAAAGGATAATAACAATAGAGATAGATATTATGATTTTGAATAACAATCTATCATCACCACTAAAAACAATCGCAAAAGGAAAGATCGCGAAAATATCTCATCTAAAAATAAAATCTGCAAAATTACAAAAACTTGAAAAAAATATTGGAAGAAAGGCCACCATAAATCGGTATATTCGCCTTAAATAACATTAATAGTTTTCCATAATAATGCCACACAAGCCGATGCCCATGAAGTTTCAGCTTTGGAACATAATGATATTATATAAAGTGACATGAAGCCCAAATATATAAAGCTAATGCCTAAAAAAATTAGATGGGTATCTCAATTTATCTATGAACAAAATCTTAAGATTATTTTATCCAAAATTTCATTGCAAAAAATCAGAAGAATAACATGAAGAGCATACAATAACCATCAAAATTCCTAACATATACTTAACTCAACTTCTCGCTTCAAATAGCCAAAAGATTGATTAAAAAACTAAAAATCTATCCATGAACAAAATCCTAATATTATTTTATCTAAAGTTTCACTACAAAAAACGAGAATAATAACATGAAGAGCATGTAATAACCATCAAAATTCCTAACATATACTTAACTCAACTTCTCGCTTCAAATAGCCAAAACATTGATCAAAAAACTAAAAAGCCATAACTTCCTTAATTCAAATAACAAACTAAAAACCATAAAACAATAATTTTAAGAAACTTGCGCATAAACAAAGAGAGAGGGAGAGAGACGAAACACATATTGTTGCATGAAAAATAAAAAACAACGTACTTACTTTGAGAGGTTGAAAGAGACACATGAAACTATTTTGAGAGGTTGAAAAATTTATATTTATAAAACTTTTAAACTTCATTAGGATGTAAGTCGTAACACGAGGGAGATATTTTAAATGAGGAAATAGTAACTATAGATTTTAAGATATAAGTGAGATATAGATTGAGTTATCTCTCTCTATTCCCTTTCTTCCTCTTCCTCTCTCTTGCACGTACTCTCTCTCTCTCTTCAAAATCTCTCATTTGGTTCAAACTTCTTAAAATGGGCACTTATCCCGAACTCAATTCAAGTGAAAGAGATTTGCATATGTATCTAAGATTGTTTCCATATCCAAGATGACTCCCCATCCAAGTATTATAACATCTTTCAAGGATACACGCTCCACTTTTTTTTCTTCTATTCTTTTGTTCAAAGTTCCTAAAGTTGGTACCTATTCCCAACTCAAATTCAAGAGAGAAAGATACACACAAATCTAAAATTTCTCTTAAAACCTCTCATTATCTTTTCTCTCTCGTACATATTCTCTCAAATAAATCCTACAAAAATATTGATTTTTTAAAATCTTATATTAGGAGATTCTCTCTTTCTCTACTCTCGTATCTTCCAAAATCTCTCTCTTGCACATACTCTTCTCAAAATCGTTTTTAAAACCTCTCATTATCTCTCTTTCTCTCCCTCTTTTCTATTTTAGAAAATGAAGTTTTTTTTCCTCTACCCTATTCTCTCTCTTATCCCCTATGACCTAAGTTTTTTTTCCCTCTACCCTACTCTTTCTCTTATCCCCTACAACCTATATATAAATAGAGATCTTTTTCGTTTTCGAAACACGTGTCCACATCTTAACTCTTAATTATGGGACGTGGATTTAAAGAATCTGAAAAAATATTATATAAGCTCAAAAAAACAAAAAATAAACTTAAAAAAATAAAAGGATTTATGGTATCTCAAATCAAGTTCGATCCGGACAGGATAAAAAATAAGGTTTTAAAACACCGGGCCCAACAAAAACCTTCCTTGCGTACATCTTCAGCTCAATTAGCTAAAGGTCGAGCTGGAAAAACGTTTGCTTGGAGTCAGGTAGGAAGAAAAGACTGATTCAGCCCGCATTTTCACGTGAAAAAAGAAAAGAAAGAAAAACAACTAAAAATAAAACTCACCATACAAAAAGCATGTTTCATAAAGTACATACATTAACAAGTCCGCTAGACGTGGCACTGGGCCATATGAAGGTGCAAGCGAGCAGGTGGCAATTGTCCGTTACCGTGCGGTTCAAGTTTCTATAAGATCCAGGATTTATGAAACAAAATAAACCCACTCCACCTCAAATCTTCATCCGAAAAGCCTAATAAGTCATCGGCTCTAAAATCAATTTTCAATGACGTACAAATTTTATGAACACTTATTTTCAAGACCAAATCCATTTCGTCTTAAAAATTCGATACATCACTTTTAGCACTTTAAATTCTGAATTTTTTCCACAACCACGATGTTTATTGCGGCCAAGATGATCGATGTAAAGTTTTTTCAATGTTTTGAATTTCAATTTTCGATGAGTTATGGTTTACTTGTTTTGATAGGGATGCATCCCTATCAAACCATTTTCCTCTATTAATACGTCCTCTTTAGATTCTCTTGATTATGTTTCACTAATGTTTAACCAAACAAGTCGCTGAGGTAAAGGAGGTTTTGAAAGCCTATGAATGTGAGATTTAGCAAAGCTACATCTTTCTTTGAATACCATGATATTGAAGAAATAATATCTCAAATATCCATATCCCTCGACTTTAATTAGCTTCCATTTTATTGTCAAGGGATAATTTGTTATATCTGGTACATGAAAACACAATATGGTTAGGGGTGATGTTCGTATGTGATTATTCAATATTCTCATCTTCAAAAAGCTTTCCCCCTATCACCAGTAAAGATACAGTTCAACGAAATCAAGAATAATTATTCAATTGTACAAAACTAGTACATGTAAAATCTCTCTCACACACGCACACGGGCACACAGATGCATGTCCGCGCAACAGACCAAATAAGACTTGCTAGTTCCCTGATTTTAGCAGCATCTTTTTCAATTTATTAATATCAAGGTTGTACTACAAATTTATCAGTTCATATCAGGGTGGCTAAAGAGCCTAATATAAAGGAAAAAAATAAAAAGAACAAAAAATTTTTTTCCCATGTAAACCTTTTCAAGTATAAAAAAATCATAATGGGAGAAAAATGAGGCAACAGTCAGAATTCAAACAAAATCCATAGAACAAAAAGCAGATACTACAGTGTAGTAATGCTCAGTCTTTATGAGGATGAGCATCAATTGGAAGAAACTGGCTTGCGTATCTATCTGCCTTCGATCCTGATTTGTGGTCGTAATACTCAACGACTGCAGCTCCAGCCAAAGCAGCCAAGGTTAAAGCCTGGGCATGCAACCTGCACAAAAAATTTACCAATAATCTCACTTTTTCTGTTTGATTGTTAACTAAAATCCCCAACAATCCCTTTCTCTCTCTCTCGACACACACACACATATATCACATGTCTAAAGAGTTCAGGGAAATTAGATAAAACTATTGATATGTAAGTTATCAGTAATTTAAAGTTTTAAGCCACAAGCTACTGATTAATTTCAAAAAAGAAAAACAAAAGGAACACCACAAGCTACTGATTGAAATATAGATTGAATTCCTAAGCACTCAAATACTTGATTTACTGGTCCTATCGGGTACTCCGGAATCATATTTTAGGGAAGGGGGAGCTCTGGGAGATCAGAAGTTCAGAAATAAAAAAAATTCCCATATACATAATCAAAAGCTTTTTCCAACTCAGTATTATAAACCACAACGAACTAAAATTGAAGCCTTTGATCAATAAATCATGAACAATTAAGAAACTTAAAAAATTGGTAGCCAATGAAAAAGCCTCCTCAGTTGATATCATTAAGGGATAACATTTCCCCAACCTTCTTCATAAATAACCGAATGGCAAAGATCTTGTCTAGGTCCCCAGCTAAACTAATAAGCAAGTAAATAAAAAATTTCCACACCTCTCCGGGAATAATATATATAAAAATAGTGGTGACCTATTTAAGCATTCTATACTGATGATAACCTCTCAGACTCAGGAAAAGGAACCAAGACGAGCCCAAGTTGGGTTGAAGAGCCCTTCATCAAAGTTACTACCCTCATTCTCAATCTACACAAACACCTTGCTTTACCTTACCTTCCAGCCTGCGGTGCTTTACGGATCTAGAACTTCCAAACCACCCATCAACAAAAGGACTGCAAAATTCAAACCCTTCCTATCTCTATGTTTCCCCCTCTCTTTTAGTATTGTAGCATCTCAATCCTCTAAAGCATTTAGTTGTTTCAGGCTTCCTGAATTTCACATTTCCTTCTCATATTGTAGCATTTCTAAGTAAGATCTTTTAAATTGGCCATTTATGAATCATGTACGAGGGGAAATTAGTCCTTAAAGATTAAATATTTTGTTCTTTTTTTCTTTTTTTGTCTTTTTATGAAGCAGGCAAACAAAAAACAGCTGTTACCGACGGACCTTCCTGTTTCTCAATTTCACCAGTGGCCAGATTCTCCGCTTTGTTCAGTACCAAACTCCCAGGAGGAGATCCATCTATGTAGCCCGCCCACAAGAGACGACCCTTCTCCTTTCTACTCCATATTTCAGAAGCCCATAAAGCATAAGCACCAAATGGGCAAATGAAATAAATAAGACAGATAGGAAATGACAGTATCAATCAAATTTATAGGTTATACTACACTCAAGAGAAATCCTTCTTTTCATTCCACAATTTCCTGGAGGCCGCAAACCATAAATACACATAAGAGACTAGACTAAATTCCACCCGCCACTTCTTTTTTCTTTTTTTTTGGGAAATAATATAACTCTTTGAACTTTACATTTGGCACTTTTTTATATAGTTCAAGTTATACATAAGCTACATTGATAGCTGAAACACCAAATAACAGACTTCTTAGGTGATCCAAAGCACCAGAGAGAATCTTTAGCAATTCAAATAACATTTCTCATGCTCATTTTTCCTTTCCTTCGATCACATTAAGTCCACATAAAAGCAGAAGCTGAATTGTGAAGCTTTTCAATGTAGTGATCCAAAAAAAAGAAAAATAGCTTAACGCATTTCTGCATCTGAAAAGGAAAATAAATAAAGCTATGCCCCATTCAACACCTAGATTGACATATCACTAGTGGATTTTGCATATAAAATTCATAACAACAAAGTCTCAAAAGTCCCATTTATATCTACTTAATATGAATTCATAAACAAATTAAACCCAAAATACACTAATCCAAATCAAGTAAAAAAGGAAAACCAAACCAAGCCCTATCATCAAAATGAATAGCAAAAACTCCCTAAACCAAATAATTAGAAAGGAACCACAATTTCAATTCCACTAACCCCTTCCAGCCAAAAACACATTTAAACAGAACCGAATAGATATTTAAACTAATAAGGAAAACTAATTTCAAATCAGTTTCAATGAGGTTACCGAGACCTCATAATATCATGTCTGCTTCAAGATTCAGAGAAAATAATGTTTTCCCTAACTGAATAGGAAGGTTTTAAAATGTTGAGTTTTTCTGCTTGAATTAAATCTGTTTTCTTCTCTCTTTTACCCTAATTAGAAAACGGGGCTTGCCCTTTAATCAAACGAAATCTTCATTAAATAAAATAAAATCCATTAGGGTGTCTGCTGCATCAATTTTTCCTCAAATATTTCATCCAACAACAAAAACATATAAATCCATAACCAAAAATGATAAAAAAATGACGAAAAAGAGGAACATAAAGAATTATAATCAATGAAACAACACATGCCTGGCATGAATGATCTTAACGCTGGTTTTCATGTTGGGTTGAGACCAGTTGTAGGCAAATGAACCAGCCAGTCCACTTAGCCATAAAGCACCTTGAAACACATAAAAATCAATAAAAAATTCATTCTAATTAATGTAAAAAAATTTAAGAAAATAGAAAAAGAACAAAGAACAAAGAAAAGGAAGCATACCAACTGTGCGTAACTTGTGTTGAACAACCCATGATCTGAGATTTTCGAGACTCGTTTTCTCACTCTCTCCTCCCATTTCTCCCCACCAGAAAGCAATAGAATAAATGGGTTTTCTTTTCTCTCTCCTCTATACTCCGCGTTCTTTGCTCTCTTAACAGGAATGAAAAAATGCAACAAATGTGAATGAATCAATGAACAAATGCATATCTCCCAACGTAATTAAATACAGGGATTCTAAAAATAGCACGTGTCAAACGCATTTGCTTCCTGCCTTTCAAGGATATCGAGCGGTCCGTAGCGTAAGAACGTGAGAGACTTGACCGCGTGGACCGTCAGATTAAGAGGGAACTGCCGCCTTAATCGACGGTTAAGAGATGAAGAGGGCGTTTGCGTTGGATGATGTGGATCGTCCATTTAAAGATTGAGTGACAAAGATTTTAGGAAAGTGGCGGTCAAATTTGGGGGACGCACCAACCTCCCACTGCCCATGGTTCTTTGCTTCGAGAGGAATGGAAATGACACGGCCTTTCTCCGTCTCTCACACAGGTTCATTCGACTCAAAACCCTGATATGTAAATCGACCCGGTTTCTATGCGGGCCTCTTAATAAATTTAATTTTAGATGGATTTTAAGATTTTATTTTTAAAGACATGTAATTTATAATATGGAGATCATGAATATGAAAAAATAAATAAATTTTTTAAAAATAGAAATAATAATTCTAGTCTAAAGACATTTGGACAATTAGTTTCCATTGTTTTTAGATGGAACACCTACTTGCATCCATCTCTAAGATGGATGACTGTATATGTAGAAATACAGTCCAGCCTTCGTGAAATAATTTTTTTATATAAATAGAGTACTTTACGCGATATAAGGTCGCAACTTTAAAATGTAGCATTAAGAGGCACCTCGAAAATTTCTTCAGAAAAAGTTGTTTTGAAGTTGAAAAAATCATCTCGATATTGACATATATGAATATATGAAAAAAATAAAGATTTCAAGTCCCAATTGGTGAATCTTGCAACACATTATCTAGACTGTTTATTTTCAAGATGAACTATTTTTAAAGTTTAAAAATTTAAAATTAAATAAACAAATTAATTATAATGCCATCCTAATAATTTTTGACACCAAAATTACGTACGTCTTATGATAAAAGTTGGAGGTGCACGTTTTGTTGGATTGTTTAAGGCTGCAACTTTATATAAACCACACCCTTTAAGAATTGGATGGGATTTCTATAAGTTAGCTGCCTCATTTTGTGCATATATCCCCCCCCCCCCCCTCTACCTACTACTAACTAACTTACTACTACTATTAGTATACTATATATACGTAGTAGTAGTATACGTATAGTATAATGTAAAATAAAATTTAAATTTTAAATTT